ACAAGAGTATATTGAAAGATGATGCTAGCAAGAGCTTACATCAGTCGGCAAGAGAAAAGTGCACTGGGATTCAAGGCAGCAAAGGAATTATTTCAACTTCCTCCTTTGTGGTAATGCACTGGCAATTACAAGTGTAAGGCCATAGTTATTTACTGCTCCAAGACTTTCTGCACTTTGAAAGGTGTAGATACCACTGTACCAGTTCTTTGGAGGTCAAACCTGTCAGCATGGATGACAGAATATTTATTGACTGGTTTAATTATCACTATTTCTGAAGTCATGCTTTACCTGCACAGCAAGAACACTGGCTTCAAGGTTCTCTTCACTCTTGATAATTCTCACACTTATCCAGAAGCTTTGCTGGATGTGTACCCACATTTAAAAGTTGTAATTTTACTGCCAAATACACCTACCATCCAACTTACGACCTGCTCGACTTACGACCACTCGACTTACGACCGTGTTTTTTATGCCAAATTTCTGGGAAATAAACAACTATTTGTGTTGTACACAGTGTTTATCCTAAACCTTACAGTATAAAATATTTATTTATTTATCTGAACATGATACAGTGAAGTATAAAAGAATACAGTTAAATGCAGCATGCCAAAGCCACTTGAATGCATAGCATTACGGGCAGGCTTAAAATTAACTTAAGATTAACTAAGCAATGTGGTACAAAAATTATTGTAAAACAGATAATTTAGTGCAAATGAGTATTACAAAGACAGATCATATGGTCATTTACTGTGTTGCTGTGTAATCAGTAGAATGGAGTATTCTGTTAGGTAATGAAGTTAAATAGTAACAAAGTTTGATTGGGTCATAGGTTGACATTTATGAGATACAATAATGAGATACATATATGAGATACAATTTATGAGATACAATTATTCAGTATTTATTTAGTTGTGGGTGTGTAAGTGATTTTTGAGAAGAGACTTGAATTTATAAATAGACAGTGTTTCTTTTATATTCACAGGTAATGAATTCCAGATTTTAGGGCCTTTTATGTGCATTGAGTTTTTGCATAGCGTGAGATGGACACGAGGAACATCAAAGAGTGATCTGTGTCTTGTGTTATGGTCATGTGTTCTGTTGGGGTTGGTAAGGAGATGTTTGAGGGGAGGGTTTATGTCAGAGTTAAGTGTTCTATGTATGTAGTAGGTGCAGTAATAAGTATGGATGTTTTGGAAATTTGTTGTATATGTGTTTGAAATTTGAGTCTATTATCAAGGTGGATTCCCAGGAATTTTCCCTCTGAGAGTTTTGTGATAGGTGATCCATTTATCATTATGTTAGGAGATATATCTGCAGCTCTGTTACCAAACTGAATGTAGTAGGTTTTGTCAATGTTTAGAGTAACTTTGTTGGTCCTCATCCAGGTTGATATTTTCTGTAATTCGGTATTTACAGTATTGGCTAGCATGACTGGGCTCGGGTGAGAGTAGACGTATGTAGTGTCATCTGCAAATAGTGTGGGTTTGAGTAGTTGCGATGCATTTGGTAGGTCATTTATATATATTAGAAAGAGAAGAAGGCATAGGACACTTCCCTGTGGGACACCAACTGTAATTGGCTGTGCAGAAGAGTTTGCCCCATTTGTGTACACATATTGGCTTCTGTTGCTGAGGTATGACTTTAGGTAGTTGAGGGAGTGCCCTCTTATACCATAGTGCGACAATTTTATGTGGAGCAAGTCGTGGTCAACTGTATCGAAAGCTTTACGTAAGTCAATGAAGATCCCCAGTGGGACTTCTTTTTTCTCTATTGCTGTATAAATATGTTCTAGCATGTGGATAATAGCATCATTAGCATTTTCATTAGGCCTGAACCCAAATTGACAGGGGTTGAGTATGTTGTGGGAGATGAGGTAGGAATAGATACGCTTATGGATTAATTTTTCAAAGATTTTAGAGAGAGGGTGTAAGTTGGATACTGACCTATAGTCATTCAAGTCTGCGTGGTCTCCTCCTTTATGGATCAGGGTGACCCTTGCTATTTTGAGAACTGTAGGAAAGGTAGAGGATTCAATGGATTTGTTAACGAGTGTTGCAATGATTGGTGATAGCACCTGTGACACTTTTTTGTATATAATGGGTGGTAAGGTATTTAAATCTCCTGTCTTGTTTTTTAGTTTGTTGATAATAAGTACTAACAACAGTACTAACAACATAAAAAGTAAAGTAAAACATGAAATACCAAAATAAAACAATAAAATGAAGTCATTACAAAAGTGTTTTGTTGATATTCAGTAGTAAAGTTCGGCTTACGACCATTTCGACTTACGACCGGTTTCTCGGAACCGAACTCGGTCGTAAAGTTTAGGCAAGACACTTTGCTGTACTCGACTGAAGAAGCCTACTGTGTAGGCGAAACGTTTCGAAATAAAGATACCTAACTGTTGCATATGTGTCTTACCTAAACAACATTTTATTGTTCACTCGGTCGTAAGTCGGATGGTAGGTGTACATCATAGAGTTATTAGGTCATTCAAGTGTAACTACACATGAAAGGTTATTGCAGCAATGGATGATGGCTCCAAGCTTGCAGTACCAAATACTTGACATAAATTTGACATTGCAGATGCCATCATCTATGTCAGAAGTGCATGGAATGAAGTGCCCCAATAAACACTAAATGCAGGCTGGGGAAAGTTTGGCCTAGTGTAGTTTTTTCCCTTCACTTGAGTGTCAAGTGCAGAAAATAGCTCAGCAAATAGTTCAACTGGCAAGGAGATTACTAGAGGATGGCTTTGAAGATATACAGGAAGATGTGAATGAGCTCTCAGAAGATGACAAAGATTAAAGTCCAGAGGAAATGTTAGCAGAGCTCAATGCACAGATACAAATGAGGCAGATAATAGAGGACGATGAGGAAGAAGAACCAGAAGAAAAACAGTTGCAACAGTTACACGAGTATTTCCATGTTGCTGCCAAACTAGCAGACTTTTTCCACTGAAGAGAACCTTGACAAATAATGCTCTGAAATGGGGTGTAGAGCAACTGTGACATTCTGCAGGGTAAAAGACCAAAGATGTACTACAGAATTTCTCACTACTCCAGTACAACCATCAATTTTAGTGTCAGCTCCAACCATCCACCTTGGCAAACAATCCATGATTATCCACCTCAGCTCAGCAGGACCACAGCATTCCTCTCCACTCTTTTCAGAACCACTTACATATACCAGCAACCACAATTTAAGGCAAGAAATATCATTTATGTAACATTTGTAGAATTAAGGAATGCATTAAACATATCACAACAATCAATTACAATCACATTATCATTTTTATTTTTTATAATTTGGAGACAAAGCCATCTCCGGGGCTCCAATGAGCGTACCCTATTTTTTCTATACGTTCTTCAGTTTGTTTTAGACTACGGTGGACCCTTGGCCAATGAAGGCATCGTCTAACGATAAATTCATCCAACGAAGCGTTTGAGCGTAAAAATTTTGGCCCACCCAACGATGAAAAACTCGACCAACATGATTCGTCCCAAACCTGTCCGTCCAGCCTGAGCGCCTCACCTGCCCTGCTGTCTTTGTTAACAAGCCAGGGTGGACAGTTCCACGCATATATTCAATAAATTTTGTATTATACCACTGTTTTTAGTGCTTATAACTGCTAAGTAAGCCACCATGGGCCCAAAGAAAGCTTCTAGTGCCAACCCTGTGTTAAAAAGGGTGAGAAACACTATCGAAATACTATTGTACCACGGTCAGCTGCTGCTGCACCACCGTCGGCTGCTGCTGCACCACCGTCGGCTGCTGCTGCACCACCGTCGGCTGCTGCTGCACCACCGTCGGCTGCTGCTGCACCACCGTCGGCTGCTGCTGCACCACCGTCGGCTGCTGCTGCACCACCGTCGGCTGCTGCTGCATCACCGTCGGCTGCTGCTGCACCACCGTCGGCTGCTGCTGCACCACCGTCGGCTGCTGCTGCTGCACCACCGTCGGCTGCTGCTGCACCACTGTCGGCTGTACTACTCGAAGATGTGGAGTGTGTGTTTTTGGTGTGGCTTAACAAGAAACAATTACAGAGAAACAATTAACCCCAGAGGGTTAGCCACCCAGGATAACCCAAGAAAGTCAGTGCATCATCAAGGTTAACTTATTTCCATTGGGGTCCTTAATCTTGTCCCCCAGGGTGCGACCCACACCAGTCGACTAACACCCAGGTGAACAGGAAAAAATGCCTGGAACTAGTGCTCATATTGCTGAATTTAAGGCCAGAAAAGGTTGGTTTGAGAGATTTAAGAATCATAGTGGCATACACAGTGTGATAATGCATGGTGAAGCTGAAAAATTCCAACCCAAACAAGTGTTCAATTGTGACAATACAGGCATGTTCTAGAAGAAAATGCCAACAGGACCTACATTACTCAGGAGGAAAAGGCACTCCCAGGACACAAGCCTATGAAAGACAGGCTAACTCTCATGTTTTGATGCAATGCTAGTGGGGATTGCAAAGTGAAGCCTTTACTCATGTATCACTCTGAAAATTCCAGTGTTCAAGAAATAGTGTCTCATCACTCATCAATACTCTTCAATAAAGGTAAGTGTCATTTTAACATTTATTTGTAGTTACTGTGCATGTCTCATTGTTTTCTTTGATGGGAAATGTATATTTCATGAAAAATCTGGAACGGATTAATTGGATTTCCATTATTTCTTATGGGGAAAATTAAGTCGACTAATAATAAACTCGCCTAAAGATAAGCTCTCTGGAACGGATTAATATTGTTGGTCGAGGGTCCACTGTATTTTGTCTTTAATGCTGTTTTTAAGAACGTAACTAACATCTTAATCCATGGTCAACTGTATTCATTTATCAAACAATAGTATAAATTATTGTTGTATCCTAGGGACTATTCATGTACCTCTGCTGAGGCTCCATGCACCCCAGCTGGACTAGCCTGATCTAAAAAAGAGGTTACAACTAAATTTTTAATTAACACTAATTTATGATACATTATTCAAAAGATCATACTTACCATAGCGAGCATCCTCAAGACCAAGAAGGCTGTAGTACTTGAAGCATTCATCTCCTATCTTTAAATCAGACAGAAGGTGAGAAAAGGGATTTGGTCCTGAAAGATAAATATTGTAGCTTAATATCTTCATTAATTTTGGTAGGCTAGTTTGATATTTTAAAAATTAACATTGGGATGAGCACTGACCTTTACAAGACCCTACTAGTGGAATCAAGATTTTCCTCTTATCACGTCTGTACAGCTTTTCATTTTTCTTGCAAAGACTCATCCAGAACAATAAAACTAGCCAATAAAATTTAACGTGTTATTCAGTTCAAAAACCAAATTTGTCGTTTTCAGCTAACTTTGATTCGCTGTTCATGAATCTGAGCTTGTTTAGTCTATCACAAGGTTTTGTGCAAATCTTATGATCAACATTCTGGCTATTTAAGGATGAAGAATCCCACGATATATACACCTACCATCCGACTTACAACCGAGTTCGGTTCCGAGAAACCGGTCGTAAGTCGAACTTTACTACTGAATATCAACAAAACATTTTTGTAATGACTATTTTATTGTTTTATTTTGGTATTTCATGTTTTACTTTACTTTTTATGCTGTTAGTACTGTATTTTATACTTTAAGGTTTAGGATAAACACTGTGTACAACACAAATAGTAGTTTATTTCCCAGAAATTTGGCATAAAAAACACGGTCGTAAGTCGAGTGGTCGTAAGTCGAGCAGGTCGTAAGTCGGATGGTAGGTGTATTACCTAACAATCATAAGTATTATGGCCCATGACCTAGTAGGCAAAGCTCTCGCTGCACATGCTGAGGATCTGTGGTTCGATTCCCAGCAAGGGTGGAAACACTGAGCGTGTTTCCTTACACCTCTTGTCCTTGTTTACTCATCAGTAAAATGGGTACCTTGGTGTTAGTCAACTGGTGTGGGTCACATCCTGGGACAAAATTGACCTAATTTACCTGAAAAGCTCTGCATAACAAGGGGCTTTCTATACAGTAGTATGTCATTGTCAGCTAAGCCCCTATACCTTGTATATGTACTTGTAGACATAGATATTATTATAATATTAAGCGTGGTGCATGCAGACAAAAACCAATCTTTCTTAAATTCATTATATGGATAAAAAAAAAAAATCCATTCACACAAATATTAACATTACAGTTTTCAGGCCTTTTTGCTTGTGTTCAGTATTGCTCTCCTTCACCAGTGTCCAGCAGTAGTCATACTATACCATTAAACTGATCATGAAGTTTCCCCTGGTATCTCTGTACAATGGCTGTCTTGGTGTAATTGTTCATAACTACAGAAACTGTACTAGGAGCAAAATTAAGTTCAGACTGGAATTCAGCATCCCCAAATTAGTTAGAAACATGCTTTTAAATGTGAAGTTATTTTTTTTTTTTTTTTTTTGGCCAGTGTAATTTATCTTTTACACCTAAGAGATGATTATTTATTGAGGTACTCAACCCACATGTGTCCTTCAGCACAAGAAATCGTGGAGATGCAATTCTGTCAGTTAAACTCAAAACAATGTGCCACTCTCATAACCATGCATCCCCCTCACCCCACATGCAATTATCTACTTGTAATTACACTGATTACTGTTTCTATCTTACAAAAACAGAAGTATGCCATTTGTGTTCCACACACACAGTACAGTACACTCTTATAATACAACTTAACACAGTATGTAAAGTAAAATGACACAGTTCTGTCAAGCCGTAACGGCTTGATAAAGCTCCTGGAGAGCGAAACGTTGCCACAATAAAATGTCACATTAGTTGCACTTGTGTCCTTTTGCTTTACATATTGTCGGTAATTCTACCAACTTTATTACAATTTAACACAGCATAATTTTCTTGCAGTATGATTCAAGAAGTGCAATAAAAATTTCAAGAGAATGTGAAAATCTTGATATTACATGCTTTAACATAAAGTACTGTTCAGTAATCAGTTTAACACATGAAATGCTATCCTGACTGCAAAACCAGCATATTATTTTAAAATTCAACCCCAACAGATCACAAGTACCTCAATGATAGCAGGTTAGTTCCAACTTTTTTTTCTTTTTAGGTTATCCTACCTAATTTATACAAGTGTTACTATGTATGATAACTGCAATCATCTAAATAAATGTACCTAAATAAACTTACTTAACCTACGATGGCCGAAATCAGCTGAGTAGTGGTCATGGGCTATTACAAAATATTTACTTATTTCATGGAGTACATAGGTCATAAGTACTGTAAAATGTATACTAATGCCAGAGTTCTGCCGAGTGGTAGCTGTAAACTATAACCCAAACTCCTTCAGTTGAATACAGGCAATCATTACAATGGAGACAGAAGTAGTGTAGTAATTTTGAGGTGACCAGTCCCACAGCCTTGATAGGTGACCAGTCCCACAGCCTTGATAGGTGACCAGTCCCACAGCCTTGATAGGTGACCAGTCCCACAGCCTTGATAGGAGACCAGTCCCATAGCCTTGATAGGTGACCAGTCCCACAGCCTTGATAGGTGGCCTGTCCCACAGCCTTGATAGGTGGCCTGTCCCACAGCCTTGATAGGTGGCCTGTCCCACAGCCTTGATAGGTGGCCTGTCCCACAGCCTTGATAGGTGGCCTGTCGCACAACCTTGATAGGTGGCCTGTCCCACAACCTTGATAGGTGGCCTGTCCCACAACCTTGATAGGTGGCCTGTCCCACAACCTTGATAGGTGGCCTGTCCCACATCCTTGATAGGTGGCCTGTCCCACAACCTTGATAGGTGGCCTGTCCCACAACCTTGATAGGTGGCCTGTCCCACAACCTTGATAGGTGGCCTGTCCCACAACCTTGATAGGTGGCCTGTCCCACAACCTTGATAGGTGGTCAGTCCCATAGCCTTGATAGGTTATCAGTTTCATAACCTTGATAGGTTATCAGTTTCATAACCTTGATAGGTTATCAGTTTCATAACCTTGATAGGTTATCAGTTTCATAACCTTGATAGGTGACCAGTCCCACAGCCTTGATAGATGATCAGTTCCACAGCCTTGATAGGTGATCAGTCCCTTAGCCCTGACAGGGGTCTGAATATCTCAAAATTACCTCTCCACTCCTCCCACTGTTTCCAGTACATAATCTTGACTGGATTGAAAAAGTCACTGGTGATACATCTTGCTCACCAATTAGTATGACTCATTTCGGCTGGAGATGACTATCTCCACATTACTGTTTAGGTAACTGGAGTCATGGGACTTGACCATATGTCTCGCCCCACCCAGGATTGGCCCCGGGTCTTTTCAGTTGTGAAGCAAATAAGGTAACAAACTGGGTTATCAAGTGTAAAAATGTCCAACTGACAAAGGCAGCTACTTAATATTATATATCTACTGTTAATAAAAATGTACCTAAATTAATATTAGTTTCCTCATGATACAAAAACTACAGTACGTGCATTTTTTCTAGAATATAACTAAGTTATGTAAAGTACCTCATTTTTTAAATAGATATATATAATAAGTATCTACTTAATCGAAATATATGACTAATTACGTAAGTGCACACCATAAAATATAGATATATTATTCCACTCTGTAGCCAAAAATAATTGACAGCTGATGTCTTCTATACCGAAATGGAGAAATATGAACATACTAGTCAACTTTCGACCAAATTACAAAGAAAATGAGTAATATAACCAATTAAGAGACATTACGGGAGCTGAAACCTGTATCAGCTGATAGTACCATTATCACGTACCCAAGTACAGCTCCACAAGAAGATTTCATTAGGTCATTTATGAGGCTTGCGCAGGTCTCAGGAACACCTCCCAGCAGTGATCACATTCCTGCTTTCTTATCTCACATGTCAAGACATTTCAGAGTCAAGTAGAGTGCTTTACCCAGGTTTAACTCACCTTCCATAGCCATTTCTACGTGGTAGCTGTGTGAGGTGAGGTGTTGGGGGAGAAGTGTTGGTGATGGTGGCGACATCTCTGGGTGATAGATAGAGCCAGTGATGATAGTGACATCTCTTGAGTGAGAGTCAGTGTTGGTAGTGACATCTCTTGAGTGAGAGTCAGTGTTGGTAGTGACATCTCTTGAGTGAGAGAGAGTCAGTGATGGTAGTGACATTTCTGAGTGAGAGAGCCACTGATGGTAATGACATCTCTGAGTGAGAGAGTCAGTGATGGTAGTGACATTTCTGAGTGAGAGAGCCACTGGTGGTAATGACATCTCTGAGTGAGAGAGAGAGTCAGTGATGGTAGTGACATTTCTGAGTGAGAGAGAGAGAGTCAGTGATGGTAGTGACATTTCTGAGAGACACCTGGAGTTTACCTGGAGAGAGTTCCGGGGGTCAACGCCCCCGCGGCCCGGTCTGTGACCAGGCCTCATAGTGGATCAGAGCCTGATCAACCAGGCTGTTACTGCTGGCTACACGCAATCCAACGTACGAGCCACAGCCCGGCTGGTCAGGTACTGACTTTAGGTGCTTGTCCAGTGCCTGCTTAAAGACTGCCAGGGGTCTATTGGTAATCCCCATTATGTATGCTGGGAGGCAGTTGAACAGTCTCGGGCCCCTGACACTTATTGTATTGTCTCTTAACGTGCTAGTGACACCCCTGCTTTTCATTGGGGGGATGTTGCATCGTCTGCCGAGTCTTTTGCTTTCGTTGAGTGATTTTCGTGTGCAAGTTCGGTACTAGTCCCTCTAGGATTTTCCAAGTGTATATAATCATGTATCTCTCCCGCCTTTAAGGAGCACGACTTCTGAACCAGTAGCACCAGCTAGTCAGGTTCAACTCACACCCACCAACACCCACTCATGTATTTATCTAGCCAATTTTTAACACTACACAACGTCTTAGACTCAATGACGGTACTCGGGAGTTTGTTCCGCTCATCCACAACTCTATTACCAAACCAGTGCTTTCCTATGTCCTTCCTGAATCTGAATTTTTCCAGTTTAAAACCATTTCTGCGAGTCCTGTCTAGACTAGATATTTTTAGCAAGCTATTTTAGCAAGCTTTATTTATTAGGTCAGTTTTATCCCAGGATGCGACCCACACCAATCGACTAACACCCAGGTACCCATTTTACTGATGGGTGAACATAGACAACCGGTGTAAGGAAACACATCCAATATTTCCACCCCTTCGCCGGGAATCGAACCTGGACCCTCATCGTGTGAAGCGAGAGCTTTTGCCCCAAGGCCAAGGGGCCTGCTGAATTTAAAATTTTATGCAGTTGATTTCCTTACAAAGAAGTATATTATACATGTTTCACCTAGAATAAGCCATAAAGTCAAACACCGTGACATTTTTATGGGGGGTTTTCTTGAAGATTTTATTGGGATTAGACTGAGGGTTTAGGCATCCAGGATAAGCCAATAAAGTTAAGCAGTTGTGGGCGATAGCCAAAAGATTACAAGTTATTAAGGTGATAGCAGCGCAAGTTACATTGTAATGAACTATTTACAGATTTATTTACTTAGAAACAATGGTATTATTATTATTATTATTATTATTATTATTATTATTATTATTATTATTATTATTATTGGGAATGCTAAACCCGTAGGGATTATAGAGCGCCTGAGAGAGGGGGGGATGGAAGGCATTCAAGCTCAGTTCAGGGAACTGGAGCACAGATCCAATTCCCTAGATCAAGAGCCCCGTGGCCTGGCTGGCAAAGCTCTTACTGCACACGCTGAGAGCCTGGGATCGATTCCCGGCAGGGTGGAAAAATTTCGACGCATTTCCTTACACCTGTTTGCCTAGCAAGTAGGTACCTGGGTGTTAATCTCATCAAAGGGGACAAGATTAAGGACCTCAATGGAAATAAGACAGTCCCTCGATGACGCACTGCCTTTCTTGTGTTATCCTGGTCGGCTAATCGTCCCGGGTTAAAAATCCGAAGAAAATCTTATCTTAGGCCCTCGCCAGCGTTCTTGTGCCTTGAGGGTCACAATAACAATACAACGTCAATGAATCATGGATTTGAGCCCCTCCCATCCATTCTGTGATTTGCTTGCAATCGTGTTATTACGATTTCCTGAATTATATTGCATGTGTCCCCTAGCTCGATCGTTAGTGCACTCAGCTCACACACTGAGGTCCGGAGTTCGAATCTAAGGTACGGCTGGAAAACATTAGGGGCGTATTTCCTTAGGACACCTGCTGTCCTTGTTCACCCATCAGTATGAAATGGGTACCTGTGTGTTAGTCGATTGGTGTGGGTCACATCCAGGGACAAAACTGACCTAATTTGCCCGAAATGTTCTGCATAACAAGCGGTTTTCTATACAGCAGTACATATGTCATTAATGTCAGCTAGGCCTGTATACCTTGTACATGTACTTGTAGAAGTGAAGATATTATTATTACATTATTACGTAGCTTACATGTGGATATATGAGTTATTTAGAGTACCTAGTATTTAGCAAGATATAG